ATACAGCTTTTCTCAAAACCTAAATATGCAATTTGTTTTGGCAATCACATATTTTTGAAGTGTTTTATTATATATGACAATGTCCAGTATATATTTGTAGAGCTTAGCTGGTGATTATAAGTAAATTTTTCTAGAGTTGAGAGAGACAATTGCATGGGTAGGGTGCTAAATGATCTTTGTATGACCATTAACATTTGTGTAGCAGGAATCTTATTTTGCAATGCCAAAAGTTGTCATTTACTCAGTATTGTGCTAGTGCTCTCAACGATCTTCTAAACTCTGCAGAACAATGCCTCTCGTAAGTAGAACTTAGGCACACAGATGTCCAGAAAACTTTCCCAGCCTCACGTGAATAGTAAATAACACAATTTGACTCTCTGTGCCTCATTGACACCAGGAATGTGAAGGGAAGATAAGGTTACCAAGGAGAGCAGAAAGCAGTAAGTTGTAAAGTGGTTGCGGATAATTACTGAGCAAGTGTGGGATGAACAAAGACAACAGTAGTGGGTTGGATTCCCTTCTGTGAAAAATAATTACAGAAATAAGAGCTAAGAAAACTTCCTTCAAGGTTCTTCACAGAGCTTTGAGGTGAAGCTATTTCTTTGCTGACACAGATAAATAGCCAGGCTGCTTTCAGGCTAAGATAATTTTGCCTTTGTGGTGCAGTCAGCAATGTGTGTGTTTAGTTTGGGGTAGCACGTCTATCACTAGTGCAAATATGCTGTGTGCCTCCTCCAAGCCCCAGCAGGTGCAGCACCCTCTTGGGCATATCCACACCCAGGTCCCACGCCATCCTCTGCCTGCCACAAACCGCTGAACTTACTTGGAGTTAATTACCACAGTGCTCCGAACAGAACACCATCCTGCTCTGTTTACAGGAGAAATCAATGGGTTGATAAAGTTGGCAAAATGGGACTGCTTTTCTTTAATTCTGAACTTCTTTAGATTGTCACAGAACTTAGACACTCCTGTGGATGTTCAAACGGGCTGAGAAACCATGGCCTGTTTTTAGATACATCAACTATGGACTGGAAAGGGAGGTTTTTTCTCTAGTTGAAGATTTTATGTCATAGGGGACTGGGCCGCTCTACCTTGAGAAATATGTGAGAAAACCACAAAGAATGAAGAAAACCCCTGGAGCAACAGTTCCCACACGAGCCTTTTTGGTCCTGAGATTGCGAAGATCTATAACTTACTTATTTTTCCAGGTTTTTTCCTAGCTCTCTACCTTAAAACCCATAGGTTAAAATGCTGATTTAATATTTTGTGTAATCCCTGCATTCGTCTCAAGAGTGTTGAAGCTTTCCTCTGTGACCCAGCCCTTTCCACTGATTTAGATGACTCCAAGTTCAGCTTGTGCTTACAAGACTACACTTCATGAGTCTATGAAATGCCAACACGGTAACATTGCCAGGCTAACATGTTAGAATCATTTGCAGAATAATTATAAGAATGTAAGACAATTGCTATTGAACACATAATATGTGGCAGGCTTTATGTGTATTAACTTGTTTAATCTGCACGACTGAGGTAGAGTCTGTTACCTTTGCCCGCTTCATGCATGTTTAAACTGAGACACAAAGGAAGTCAAATCCCTTTCCCAATGCCACACGTGTGATAAGCAGTACAGCCAAGACTCTAGCAGTCCAAAGCAGTATATACTCAAGGGAATAAGTTCCTGGAAATCAGAGCTGGGAAAAACAATTCATATGTAAGCATAATCAGAAAAGCTTCATTGAGAAGCTCCAACTTCTGCTAGATTGTAAGCTGGCAGAAGGAAATGAAGATGCCAGAATAAAGAACGGGCTGAATAAAGAGAGAAAAAGAGTATAAGGTCTAGCATATAAGAGTCAGTCCATTTAAAATTCATTTCTATACTAGATATAGAATGATGAAATAATATAATAGAGAATACGATTATTACCTGGAAATTTTAGACAGGAATGGATAAATTACATAAACCATTCAGGGGCTCGAGTGAAGTGATTAACGAAAGTCCTGATTGATGAATAATAATCTGACAGCTATGACAGGAAAAACTAAAGGAGAGAAACAATCTTATTTCATGAGTGGGTGATAGGATTTGAAAGAATGGTAGCTATAAAAAGTTAGTTTTCAAAAACTAAGTTCATAGGCAATATTTCTAGGGAATAAATGAAATCTGGAATGATAAATAGTGAGTGAAAATAAAAATTAAGGTGCCTTCTCTATATTGAATTTAGTAAAGAGGAAAACTGAACCATTGTCTCTAAAAGTTTGAAACATATTGTTAAAGCATAGGTAAGAAAATTATTAATTTACTTTATATGCCACATGTCTTTAAAACTGCATAATTTATCTGTGAGTTATTCTTAATGGCATATAGGAACAAAGAAATATTAACTATAAGAATATGGCTGTAAAGTCAACTTGTTCACCAGCCATTTAGTCAACAAATAGTCACTGGACACTCACTCTATGTCAGATGCCAGGTGTTAGTGATGCCATTCACTAAGCATACACCGCTGAAGAAAATTCCAGCTGAGTGCACTCAATGGGAGGATAGATATGAAATGAACCAGGGTAACAGATGAGGACGAGCCCCATGTATTGGGGCCAATGGGGTTAAATTGAGACTGCTATGAGAAATTATATCTAGTCAAAACAAGAGTATTCCAAGAATTTTTTAAAAATGGAGATTGATTAGAGGGAGAGGTGAGGAAAAGGGAGGCATCAGTGATGAATCTCCACTGTCTATGTTAAGATGGGTCCATTTGCATCCACCAAGAAGAACGAGGTTTGAATGGGAAGAAATAATAATGAATGATAAGAAAACATAATGTCTCAGGATTGCATGCTTGTAGAATAATAGAAAAAAATATGAATAAATGAATTAATTAAATTGCATGACACTTTAAACTTTGGAAAAATTGTATATTTTTTGAAGAACAATGAGACTACTGAAGTAAGTCATATATAGTTACCAACATTTTATCTTTAAAAGAACGGCAGCATAGTACATTTAAAAAGGGCTCATGGACTCAGAGAAACACCAGTTCAAATCTCAGCACTGATGAAGTTCATAAAACTCTAAGTCTCATTGAGAAGAAACAGAAGCTAATAGTCCTGCTTGGTTAGGATTTCTAGGGTATTTGATGCAGCAGAACAACATAAAAACAGCATTTCCTTTTATCTCCATATGTGTGGAGTACTTTAGCTCATCCTAATATTGAATTAAGTGGGAATTCTAGTATTGAAAATCTGGACCTAACAGAAAACTGCGTTCTTACATATAAAGTTATATTAATTATTTTCTTATTCTATCACGCAGATATTCCATAGAGAAGTTAGTGAAAACATATAACTAGTAGGCATTTAATAAATATTTATTGGTTTAATTGCTATTAAATAGCAGATAAATTTTCTAGACAATTATTGTTAAATCAGAAAAGGAAAGCTCATAGTAGAGTGGAAGGTGAATTGTGAAACATGTAGTTTAAATCAACAGAGACAATTAGAGATAGAATTTTAGTTTGAATAATTAACATGAGTTAAGCCATGAAAACTAGAGCTTTACTAGATCTTGTAGGTAAGATGAAAAAGAAAGACAGTAGAGAATGCACCAGTTGCAGTGAAATATGAAAATAGCATCCAAATAAATCTCCAGAGAGCCTCTTTCTTTTAAAGATGTATACTTTCTAAAGTGGGATACATTTAATAATTTTAAAAATTGACTTTAGGATTATAAATCGTTCTACTGTAAGGACACATGCACACGAATGTTCATTGCAGCACTGTTTACAATAACAAAGACCTGGAACCAACCCAAATGCCCATCGATGATAGACTGGACAGGGAAAATGTGGCACATATACACCATGGAATATTATGAAGCCATCAAAAATGATGAATTCGTGTCCTCTGTAGGGACATGGATGAACCTGGAAACCATCATTCTCAGCAAACTGACACAAAAGCAGAAAAACAAACACCGCATGTTCTCACTCACAGGCAGGTGTTGAAAAATGAGAACGCATGGACACGGGTAGGGGAGCATTACACACTGGGGTCTGTTGGGGGGAAATAGGGGAGGGACAGCAGGGGTGAGGAGTTGGAGAGTGATAGCATGGGGAGAAATGCCAGATATGAGTGAAGGGGAGGAAGGCAGCAAATCATACTGCTGTGTGTACCTATGCAACAATCTTGCATGTTCTTCACATGTACCCCAAAACTTAAAATGGAATAAAAATTAAAAATTAAAAAAATTAAAAATTGACTTTAATTTAAATTACATTGAGTCTGATAGAGTTTTCTTCAGTAAAACAATAATCCAGTTAAAATGGTTACAGTTTCACTAAACATGATCTTATGAATCATATGAGGATATTTTTTTCTGTATTTACTCACCTTCATAGGAAAAAAAAATATGTTACCAGGATTTAAGTGTAAAAATGTAATGAAGAATTAATGAATCGAGCTCATTAGAGTAATCAGTATTTTCTTTCAAGTAGTTTTAGTAATCTGTGTTCTCAGCTAACTAAAACTGGACTCTTCAAAATGATATCAAACAGTTGAAATATTTTTAGAATCTTTATCAGACATATTCATACCCCCT